TCACGCCTGTGGCTTCGTGCACTGAGTCACGGATCGACACTTCAATCTCCGGTAGGTACATATCCCAGTCTCGATGATCCTTCTCTAAATACGTCCTGATTGCAGCTAATATTGTCCGGTTCACCCTCTCGGCGGCATTGCTCTGTGGTGAGTAGACTGCTGTGCGCAGATGTCGGGCGCCGAAGGTGCTCATCATGTCCTGGAAGATCTTCGACAGGAACTGCTTTCCGTTGTCGGAGTGGATCACCTCGGGCACCCCAAACTTGTAGAACACTTCCTGTACTAGGAATTGAACTACGTTCGCAGCGGTCGCCTCTCTCATCGCTCTGAGAAAGGTGAATTTAGAGAAGTGATCTACGACGACAAAAATCCAAGCTTGTCCCCTTTTCGACCGAGGATACTTTCCCAGGAAATCGATGTATAATTTCTGGAATGGCCTCTCCGTTACGACTTCCTGACCGATCCCTACCTGGCTTCGATAATTGGGTGCTTTGGACTCCTTACAAGCATCGCAGTTCCGGACAAACTCCCGCACTTGTGTCGTCATCGCTGGCCAGTAGAATTGCCTTCTTAGCCGATGCAAGGTCTTTTTAAGTCCACCGTGTCCAGCTGTGTGGTCTTCGTGGGCCTTGGAGATAAGAGTTTCCGTCAGAGACGCGGGAATCCATAATTTCCAAATGGTCCCTTCCACTTGGTCGTCCATTTGCGTGTAAGCCATCCGCTTGAATATCACATCCCCTTCCACTCGTAGGTCAGGCAACATGTCTTGATTCTTGCCGATTTCTTCTTTCAGCTCCTGATATTCTGAAGACTCAAACTCTGTCGTCTGGAATCCGAGGATCTCCGTTCCTAGATAGTGGTGAAGCAGCTACGTCGCACTCTCACATAGGCGGTGCTGCAACAGCTGAGGTTTCCGGTGTTCGATCCCAAAGTCAAACCTCTGCAGTCGCAATGACCACCTCGCAAGACGTCCGTTTAGATCCTTCAATGACATGAGCCATTTCAGGCTGGCGTGATCCGTAATAACCGTGAAGGGCATCAATTCAATGTACGGTCTGAATTTTTCAATGGCCAACACCGCAGCTAAACACTCTTTTTCCGTTACAGAATAATTTAGCTGATGCTTGTTTAACTTGGCGGAGAAGAAAGCCACCGGACGCTCGGCTCCTTCGACGTCCAACTGAAACAACACCGCTCCCACTCCNACCTCCTTGCGAGTCTGTCTCCTTTGCCGGAAGCGTGCACGGGCCCTCTGGAGTCTACGGCTGACACCTCGCATTCCATTCAGCTGATGTTCGTCAAAGATCCGATTTCGGGCTTGTTTATACTTCCTCATCCTCTCTTCGACCGGTAAGAATTTTAAACTATTTTTTTCTATACTACTTGGGTTAATATGCTTAATTTTTACAACCTCCAATAGCGCTTCCTTCACTTCCTCGCGGGCTTCCGTCCCGAGCTCTGATATCCCGCCTTCATCATGCCCGTTCTTGAGTTTCCCGAGCAGTTGGGACACTTCGGCGTGTACGTTTCGGGCCTTCCGCAGAGATAGCAGAATACTCTGCGTTCCTTGGCCATACACTCTCGGAACCCGTGGCCAACTTCTCCGCAATTCCAGCAGCCCAGCCTCGGCTTCGCTGTCAGGTGGGTTTCCTCAACCATCACCTCTTCCTCTCCTTCCAACAGCTCCTCCGACTCTGGCTCGATCTCCTCCACTCGCTTACCGGATTGTTGGAACTTCAGCGTTGGGCGAAAAGCTGACCTTCGCTCGCGTCTGCGGAAAAGGTACTCCACCTCTACACACTCTTCCCTCAGCTGCTCCAGGTTTCGGACTCGGATCGCGTACACATAACGAGCGATCTCCTCCTCGAGTCCCTTCTTGACGACTCTGACCATCTCAGGATCTGCTATTGGGGTGATCAGTCTTGCAGCCAGCCTCCGCATCGCTCGAAAGTAATCTTCCACCGATTCTCCAGGTTCTTGCCGTCGCTCATTCAACGCCCGCAGCCGCTCGTATTGCCCACCTACTGCACGGAATCGGGATACCAACTCGTCCTTTAAGTCCTCCCAGACTTCTGGAGGATTCTCTCTTACAAACTGCCAGTACCACTCGGCAGCACGTCCTCTCACCAGATGGTGAAAATTATCAAGGACTTCGTCCCACGAGCGTCGACTCTGCCTCTGGAGAAATTCGACCCGAAACACAAAATCCTCCACCGTCAGTTTGGCCGGGTCTGGGTCGCCGTCGAAATGGATGTCCCATTTGTCGATGCGTCCCCATCTCGGCTCTCTCCAGTCGTCTCGCCTCTCGTAGGGCGTCGTGTATCGCCGAGCTCCGCCGTCTCCTGCTGGTTCACGTTCAGGTACCATCGGTCTCGTTTCCAGGTCGCCATCTTCCACCCTGCGTGACCAATATTGGCTCAGTCTCTCCGGCTTCCTCGGAGGCGCTTGTGGAATATGCTCCTGTTGTTCCACGGAACCTTTGGGTCGGGTGCCGGTACTCTGTCTTCGCCATTCTGGAGCCTTCGCACCGCCTTCTCTGCCATTCGGACCATCCTCCCAGCCCAGATCCTGGATCAGCTCTCCCTTCTGGCGCAGGGGCGTCATTGCCTCCGTTATGGCACCCATCAGCTCCATAAATCCTCGACGGATCTCCTCTTGCAGCGTCCTGCTGATGGTGTCCGCCATAGCTCCTCTCTGCGTCTCCTGCGCTTGTGCTATGGCGACGTTTATGCCCGAAAGAATTTCCGACGGCAATTCTTTTGGGTACTTCGGCTGGTTCCAACTGTCGTTCTCTCCTCCTTCTGCGCCCTGTTCCGGCAAGTTTCCTGGCGGAGGAGTCCTGCTAGTCATTTTCCCCTTTGACCGTAAATTGTAGTTGCTCATAAACTTTCTGACCACCTACTTTTCTCTCTTCCACAGAAACTCAAGGCTCAAACAAAACCTGACACGGAACTTCAAATTACTGCAAGATCAACACTAAGAGGGGAAAGTAACCACAACTGCTACTGGGGCCATCTGCACTTGGTTCCCTACGTCTTTGCTTGTCCAACGTCTTCAACTTCTTCGCGAGTGCTGTTGACCTCTCATCTTCTACAGAAGATTAAGAGTCAAGGGCGCTCACTCTGCTACCTAGCTGCTTCTGTCCCACTACTCTACTGAAGGATAGCTTCGGGATCTTGTAGCTGCTCCAGGTGCATCGCGTGGCCGACTTAATGTCCCCACGGGCCACCTCGAGCAAAACAAATCTCTACGAGATACTACTTTCCCGGTGTCCTCCAGCGGTAAGTAGGGGAAGCTGCACAAAAACAAACTACACGAACTTAACTAACTTCGGGTATTTTTTTCTTTCCAGGCTCTCTTCTGTCCACCAGGCAACGGGTCGGTTGCTAACTGGCTTGAGGACTCTCCTCAGCCAGTGCCAAACCTTACCCCCTTGAGAGCTCCGGCTTCCCTCTGTCTGCTAAGTTTAGATACAACCATAGAACAACAAAACAAATTTCATCGTATCTAACTTCGGGTATTTTTTCTTTTCCGGCTCTCTNGCTCCGGCTTCCCTCTGTCAGATAAGTTTAAACTCAAACTAAAAAAAACAATTTACTTTGTGGATTTTTACATTTACAGATCCCTCCGTGCCGTGCATCTGCGAGCCAGCCTTCAAAGCTCCTCACAGGCCACCGGAACACAGACGGACCCTTACTGCAGACTACCACTCGAGATCGTTCCTCTCGGCTGGACATTTATAATCTCTTCGAACTTTATGATTCGCAGCCGTACTCTCCCACTTTCATGTTCGAGAACGGACTGCGACTCATAAATTTGTCTTAAATTGGGCGCCATTATTGTTACGAACCTGTTTTGGTGTTGGGGCAAGGCCGGCTAGCCAGTCATCCCAGGGCTGAGTTCTTCCCAGGCCCCCAGGTCGCACAACAAACCAACTGTTCGGACATCTCGAACAAATATCAAAAAAAACAAACGATAATTCAAAACAATGCATCGGACTTTACTCTACATCTAACGGACAAACATCTCTCCACCCCAGACGTGGACAAGTCTGAGGTGCCGATGGTCTAGCTCCTACGTACTCTACCTGAGATGCGACTCAGAATACCTCAGCTCTCCTTCCCAAGTGTGGCGGACTTTCTCCATTTCGCCGCTGTGGTCCCCTTTCCCCCCCCATACTAAACACGCTAGCACTTCATTTTAAACGTTATAATATTTNCGCAATATTCCCCTCCTTTACATTCTCCCGCTCTCTCACCGGCACCGTTGATCGCCTTGCCCCTTCGCCTATCGACCTATCAACCTCCAAAAAAATACTACCAAATCTAGTATTTTGCATATCGCTCTCCTTCGAATGCAACACAAGTATTAGTGCATGTAGAACACGCAGCTGAAGTCCCAGCTACATGTGTATTAGTGCGTGTAGAGCACGCAGCTAAGAGTCCCAGCTACATTTGCATTTTTTCAAAATAAGATGGTATATTTTTGAGGGTCCGACGGAATATTTGATCGATAATTCCGCGGTCACACTGTTGCATCAGCACGCTCTCACCACTAATATTGTCAGCCTGCTATCGATATTTTGTGACTATCGTGTGGTATGGTCGATTGTCGCCCATCTCAATACAAAATAAGAGATCAGTGGGTGGAAAAAGAATCGGCGGCACGAAAACACAAGTTAATAAATTGGTTTTCATTATCAAAACAGCATAAAAGTTATATTTTGTGTTGTCGTTATTTTTTACCACATGGAGTGACAACAGACTGCTTTGATAGGCACACACTTGCCAAATTGCACGGAGTCTTACTTGCGATACTATCGATAACGCATCGCATATCGTTTTTAATTGTACCAATTACAACAAGACTACCCATCGCTAAGGAAATAACAGCGGCAATTCTAAAACTTGTATTAAAAAGTAAAATTTTTCTCATATACAAAAAAAAATGTCGTTTATGAACCCCGTGGACATGGTGGATGAAGATGCTGCCGACCTGCAATTTCCCAAAGGTAATATGAACCGCTCCAACTAACCACATTCCCAAATTACAAGTGAAACAAGCAGCAGAACCAAATGCTAGCAACCAGGGTGGGCGCCCCTCACACATGTTAACCAAATTGAATGACCTTTTTTTAGACAAACTCATAGCCGATCAGGTCCAGCGTGCGACTATGAAGTTTGCACGGGCCCGCCCCGATGGCCAGACCAAGTGCACCACTGTCTTCTACCAGGCGAAAGCGCTGCACAGGCAACTGGATAAACTGGAGGAAAGGGCGCGCGATGAGAGTAGCAACTGCAGTGTTTTGCCTACCGATGGCGGGGGCCCCAGTTGCGCCACGTGTCGCTGCCACCTTAACGAGCCATACATCAAGTGCTCCGAGTGTCTGGACACGCTGCTGTGCCTGCAGTGCTTTTCGCGAGGTCGCGAGATAGCCTCGCATAGGAACTGCCACGCCTACATCATAGTACGCGACGACATTCGCGTGTTTGCCGACGAGCCAGACTGGACGGTGCGGGACGAGCGTGTGCTGCTGCAAACGCTACGTACGCAGGGCTATGGCAACTGGGAGGCGGTCTCGTATGCTCTGGGCGAGCGCCACAGCCCGGCAGAGATTCGTCGTCACTACCACGACTGCTACTTTGGGGGGATCTTTGAGCGTCTGCTGGGACTGCAGCACGCTAGGCACAGCTACCTACCAGAGCGAATGCCATATGTGTTCAAGATGCGCAGCCTGGACCCGCCGCGTCACGATGACATCGCCTCCATGCAGTTCAAGCTCAGTGCCGGCTATCGCTGTGCCCGCGGCGACTTCGATACGCCTTACGACACCTCCGCCGAGAGTCTACTCTCCATTATGGTGGCCCAGGAGAGTTTCAGCAACGAGGATCAGCAAGAGGAAAGCCGCACGAAAAGAGAGCTGAACGAGGTGCTGCGCTTAGCACTGGTGCGTGCCTACAACAATCGCTTGAGGTAAGCCAATCCTGTCTATTTAACCATCATCTTGAATTAATGTTCCTCCCATTCCACAGAGAACGGAGGCGTCGGTACACTATCATGCGCCAGAACGGTCTCATCATGCCCAATCGCACCGTCAGCTGGATCACCAAATACGTGCACGCATTCAGCAGCGATGCCAGCTGCATGCGTTTCCTGGGCTTCATGCAGCTGTGCGAACCCATGCACTTTGACATGCTGGTGGAGTCGCTGCGCTACTATCGCGAACTGCACATCCGTCTGTACAAACTGTACGATCTGCGCCATCAGGGTGTCCGCACACTGTCCGGTGGGGCTCGTTATGCGCGACTGCTCAGACAGCGCCAGGACGCTCAACGAGATTACGCCAGGCAAAGGCAGAGCAGTGCACTCGACCTACAGCAAATTGTGCAAAACTGCCGGAGCTTGGGGAACTCTGAACAGTTGGCCGCGGGCCTCGGTTCCAAGATCTATATGAATACGCGCAAAAAGGCCAGTCCCATGGAGGTTGGAGGTAAATATCGGAGATCATGCGTTAATATTTGCACATCTAACTCCTGTTTATCAATCAGATCTTCCTGGTTACTCGAAGCTGGATGATGCTGAGCGCAAGCTGTGCAGTGTGGTTCGACTGGTGCCACAATCTTATCTGGACTTTAAGAATCAACTCATCTCGGAACAGGCTAAGCTTGGACATCTGCGACTGGCTGATGCGCGGCGTCTCATCAAGATCGACGTGAACAAGACGCGTCAGATATATGACTTCCTGCTGGAGCATGGCCACATCAGCAGGCCGCCGTCCTACGGCTAGCCCTTAGTTCTGCCCCCAATGTTTCACTTGTAAATTGGCCAAACAACAATAATGCCTGTACCCTCTTCCATCTAATGTCCTAACGAACCATGTGGTATTGGCTATTTTCAGAGTTTGAGAATGCCGAGACGCTGCTAATATCGGAGGTGCATATGCTGCTCGACCATCGGAAGCGTCAGAACGAGTCCGCCGACGAGGAGCAGGAGTTCTCCGAGGTGTTTATGAAAACCTATGCCTACACGGACAGTTTTCGCAAATTCAAGAACAAGGAGACCATCATGTCCGTTCGCAGGTAGACTATCAACACATTTAACAATTGTTTTTATTATATTAAATCATATATGCCTTCAGCTTGCTGATGCAAAAGAAACTTCACAAATTCGAGCTTGCCGCCTTGGGCAATCTTTGCCCAGAGGCGCCCGAGGAGGCCAAAGCATTGATACCGTCGCTGGAGGGTCGTTTCGAGGATGAGGAGCTACGCCAAATACTGGACGATATCGGCACTAAACGCAGCTTGCAATACTAATTGGTATTAAAATTAACTATAGCATAATTATTCATAAAAATTGTCTCAAAAATAAAATCAACGAAAATCTGACATTTGCGCCTAAAAACATCGCCTCTGGACACCTCTAGCTGAATTTATCGATAACAGCAATCGAATCTTGTGTTCTTTCTGTTTTGGTTTTTATTTTCGCAAAACATTCTCAATTGAAACAAGACCACAAGGATTCCAGAATGAATAAAGACAACTCCAGCATGAATATGGATCCCCAGCTGGCATTGCGCTTGCTGGCGGATGGCGCCGTCTTGGTCGTAGCCGGCGTACCAGTGGGCACTGAGTTTGGCATTGATTTGTGCGCCTACACGATTGGACCGGAATTCAGAGGCGTTAAGATGATACCGCCTGGCGTGCACTATGTGTGGTGTGCCTCCCAGGGACTCTATGGAGATGCGGCGCCGCGTGTCGGATTCGTGCACTACTTCCATCCCAACGAGATTCTTGTACGCGAGTGGGACAACGACTTGGAGGAGCTGCGACCGCGACAGATTGCCGAGCCCGAGGTGGAGCGGGATCGTATACGAAAGAACTTGGCTCAGCTGGAGAAGATGCTGGCTGCCTACGACTACCGATATGTCTGCCCGTGGAAGGATCTCACGGGCAGCGTGACAGAGCCATGCGTGGATCGTTGCCGCCCAACCTTGGGCACCATACGCACCAACGTTGAGCTGCAGTCCTGCCCAGATGCCGACAGACCACGAGGCGAACCGGGAGCCGCATCCAGTAGCGGCAGCAAGCGCAATGCCGCCATCAGGCTGCTCCTGGACGAAAGCGAACTCCTGCCCAACCTCAAGCCCGTTGAGGGAACAGCGCCGCGCTTCAGAGCGATTCCCCTGCGCGTTCCCCACGATGCCTTGCCAGCGGATGTGTCACGACACGCCATGGACTGCATTGCAGCTGTGGATGACCTTATCGACAGCTTCGGTTCTTCCGATGCCTTGATTGAGGAGCTGCAGCTCGCCTACGTGTTCTTTCTGGTCGGCTACTCGGTGGAGTCGCTGGCCCACTGGCGCAAGCTGCTCGGCCTGCTGGCCCATTCGGAGGCGGCGGTGTCGAAGCACAGACTAACCTACATGAAGTACAGCGAGGTGCTGGCCCACCAGCTGCCCTACCTTCCGGAGGAACTGATGGTTCCCAGCCCCCACAACAGCGTCTTCAAGGATGTGCGAGAGCTGCTGGTGAACCTGCATGAGGGCGGTCTGAGCGTCAGTGCCGAGCGTCTGAGGAAGCGTCTTGAGAAAAAGCTGGGCTGGTACTTTGAAGGACTGCTCGACGAGGACCCCGAGGACCAACCAGTCATCATAGAACTCCCCGAAGCCCAGGAAGCTCCCATTTGCATGTAAACGAACGTCTTTTGTAATCAGATATTTGCAATACACGGGACTTGTATTCGATCGATTCAATTTTAGCGCAGCGAGTGCTGGGTACGCAGATAATTCCACAGATCCCGGGCCGTACGGATGCTGACCATAAACTGGCACAGCTTCGTCTCGATCAGGCAGAGTATGATGAACTTGGCACGCTTGTCCTTGAGCAGTGACTGCAACAGAGATACAGCTGGCGAGGAATAGGATTTCGAATGGGGCTTACTTACCTCCTCGTTGTTCTCGGGACCTTGGTCCACCACAGACCACAAATCCTCGGACTCCAGATAGGCCCGCACCGTCATCGACCAGGCCTTGTAGTTGTCCAAACCTTTGAGTTTCTCGATTTGCAGTTGCAGTGCCATCTCCGAGACTCGAGCAACGTTTCACAACTAAATCGCTGGTCTGGCCTGGCCTGGTTTGGGACGCTCGCTCTTTGCCCGTGGTCTGTCTTTTCCACATTTTCTTTCTAGATTTTCAAATATAGATATCTAAGTATTTGTATTTCCATTGTGCGCCGCAGTGCATGCAAAACAATGGCCACTAGACCCACATTTGTTGTTGCTTCCGGGCCAACGAAAGTGCTGGCCAAATGACATTGAGCTTAAGTGGACCCTTGTGATTTGACGCAGCGGCGTCGTCATCGTGTTCGTTATTTTCTGTGTTCTGCCGTCTGTGACAGCAGCAGCAGAAAAAGTGTGGCACATCCCACCGTTTTGTTCGGCGTCATTGTCAATTCATAAGTTTCCTCAAGAATGTTCTACGCTGCCGCCATTTAGTGCGGCGTGACGTCACATAGTTAGGCCCAGTTGGGTGCCAATGGAGAACAGCTCGTTTTAGCGTGACGTCACACAACACTTGCAGTATCCACTTCCCTATACATGTATGAGTGGTGGAGTGAGTGGATTGTGGAATGTAAGTTTATCGTATAGTTCGTAGAAGGTAGAAAAAATACAGTTCGATTGAAGTGGATAAAGAGCAGTCTCAATTTTAACCTTCAGAATAGCCTGCCCCTCGGAAGCAATCAACGTTATATTTTTGAAAACTTTTGGGACTGATAAAACCAAGTATCTGTTCATCATATCTCTCTCGCCTTGATTGGACAACGCACACCACTGCCTCCTCTCCGTCACACAGCTCCTCAAGCAGATATCCAAAATTCAATTAACAATAAATTGTGATGCCCAATGGTTTTTGTTGTTTTTCTTATGATTTTTATTTGAAATGAATTCGAATGTCAGTTTAGCTGTTGGTTTCTGGTATTGCTGTTCCGTTCAAGAATGTTTGCTGTAGTTGTTGTTCTTGTTGCTGCCTGATTTATGCTTAATTAACTTTCTGCACGGGCTTTTCTTTGTAGCGACTGTGAAATATTTGTTGTCGCACACCACACACTTTCTGCGCGCCTCATTTATCATAAAATGAACTGTGAAAAAGCTCGTGCTTCTCTAGCTTCTTGGTTGGTTGCTATTATTTGCCATTCGTTAAGCACGCAAAAACATCCTACAGATAATGCTGGTTTTTGTTCTTTTCGATTTTTGGCTACATAAAATGATATTTCATCTGTTTCGGCTTTTCCTGTTTTAGGGATTTTCGGATTTTAAATGCAAGCATTTTTTCGTCTGAGGGGGAGCAGGAATTGGAGTGGGCTGTGGGTCTCTGGTGAGGGGGACTCTTGGAAAAATTCGAAATCTCTACAAATTACATAAGTGGTAGGGCATAGAAAATATACAAGTATAAATGTATGTATACAATATATATGTACCTTTGTGTTTTTTTGTTTGTATTTCGTTTTTAGCAACTACAAATACAAATACTTTTCTATATTTATTAATATGTTTTCTTTGTTGCGCAAGGAAAGAGATGAGAAAACTTTTGGTTGCGATTGCAATGGAAAAACACAGGAAGCAAAGGCAAATAACGGAAATCAACTAAAGTTACCGTTCGATAAGTTTTGGTAAGAGAGCACACAAAAAGAGAATACAAACGGTTCGGTATGTGAGTGAGTGTGTTTGTGTACGGTTGTATGTGTGAGGTGAGTGTGTGTGTGCGAGTGTCAGTGTTGAACAATACACTTACGTACATACAAATTTAAGCTTAAGAATTCGTTTTTTGAATTTCGCTTAACTAACATTCCCTTTTCTCGTTTAATATAGTTTTTAGCATTATTTCGCATTCCTTCTCTATTCTTATTCCGTTTGTTTTGCCTCTCTCATTATAAACTTTTGTTTTTGTTATTTGTATTAAATTTAAATTAATTGCTGTATTTTTCCTTACATTTTCGACTTTTTATGTTTTACTTTTACGTTTGCGCTTATTAATTGGTTTTTTATACTTTCTTCTTCTTTTCGTTATATTATTGGCTTAAAATTAAAGTTGTATTTAAGTGTTGCCGTTTTTCTGTGTTTGTTTTTATTAAACTTCTTTTGATGTGGATTTGCTGCTGTATTTTTTTGAAATTAATGCATGCCAACTCGTGAATTAGTTTCGAAATGAATGCGCATGCCACTCTCCGCCTTGTTGAAAATTGCCTTCTTTTCTTTCCGATTCTTTTTCTTCTCAACTCCGATCTTTTCTTCTTGCCTTCGTTTTCGTTTTCATTTTTGTTTCGTGTGTATTTTCGTGTGTGGTTTAAATGAAGTTTATTTGTTTGTTTTTTGCTTCTCATAATTAAATATAATATTTATTTAAATATAATATAATGCCTTGTTTCTCGAATGCAAAATGTTAAATTTAGTAGAGTTGTTTCTTGCTGATGTTGTTGCTTGCTGCTGTTGGGAGGATGCGCACTTGCCGCTCACTGAGGAGTGGGTGGAGGTTGCATTGCAAACAACCACGCCCACCAACAGGCCGCCGCCGACGCCTCAAATGTGTTTTCTTTTTGTGCTTTTCCGTGGTGTTGTGGCTACTTCTGGTTGCGGGGGTTTAGTGTTCTGTTGTGGCTGAGCTGTTGCTTTTCTATTTGTGTGGACTTTACTGCTCCAAGTATCGATTATCGATCGGTTTTTGTCGATAGTCGAACATCCAAAGGATCGGCGGCTGTTGTTTTGTAGTGTGTGGTTCCTGGGACCTCTTTTGTGGTTCTGGTTGTTGTTCTGTTGTCGTGTTGTTGTGTTTTGATGTATGCATATATATTATATGGTATTATATTTACTTTAGAAGGTATATTATGTGTTTTAAATGGAAGGGCGGGGGTTTACTTAAATTACGACACATCCTGATCCTCAACATCCTGAATCTGCTCCTTCGGCTCGCCATCACCTGCGTTGGGGTCTACTTCTTATCATAAAAATGAAAACAGTTAATTAAATTATTCAATAAGGGGGTTGCTTGTGCTAATGATGCTTACCCTCTGCCTGCATATCGGACGTCCATAATGTGAGGTTGTCGCGCAGCAGCTGCATGATGAGTGTCGAGTCTTTGTAGCTCTCTTCGCTCAGTGTATCCAACTCGGCAATGGCATCGTCGAAAGCGGCTTTCGCCAAGCGGCAAGCGCGATCCGGCGAGTTGAGAATCTCATAGTAGAACACCTAGAACCATGGCCAGCGAATCCGCATGTTAGTAAAGGACAATTTCAGACTAAGAAGCAAGCTAAAATCTTACCGAGAAGTTCAATGCCAAGCCCAAGCGAATGGGGTGTGTTGGGGGCAGATCGTTCATGGCAATATCGCTGGCTGCCTTGTAGGCGATCAGCGAGTTCTCTGCCGCATCCTTGCGGTCCGAACCGGTGGCGAACTCG